GAAGGCAGGGTCCCGGAGACAGCGGGGGCTGGGCGGAGAGGGGTGCTTTCAAAGATGACCTCGAGCTTAAATTTGAGGAGCCCATCTAGTTGCAAGGCGTTAGCATCGCGCGGGACACCTTGGAGACCACAGAGTAGGCGGGGATGTCCCTGCTGGAGTTCTGACTGCTCGGGTATGTCTCCCTGTGCCCCGATTTAGAGATACAGAAGGCACCCGGGTAGAATTTAACTTGGTCAAGAAATCTCACTTTAAGGATTTTTCAATGCTAAGCCTTAAAAAGATAGTTGACGTTCACCACAGCGCTGAAAGGTAAAGTTAANTTTAGAGATACAGAAGGCACCCGGGTAGAATTTAACTTGGTCAAGAAATCTCACTTTAAGGATTTTTCAATGCTAAGCCTTAAAAAGATAGTTGACGTTCACCACAGCGCTGAAAGGTAATTAAGGTTAGGAGTAATTATGCTGATGCGGCGTCAAACACGCTTAAGCACTCTACGTGCACTGCCTTATTTCATTCCGATGAGAGACACCTGTAAGAGANTGCACTGCCTTATTTCATTCCGATGAGAGACCTGCGAGATGATGCTGGCGCTCCATCCATTCTACAGACGGGGGAGTCCCGGCACACAGCTAAGTGACTTGTCCAAGGAAAGGAAACTTGAAAGTGGCAAAGCTGGAAATCTACCCGCAGCCAGAGCTGGGGCTCACAGGTGGGGCCAAAAAATATCTGATGAGCCAGTGGATGAAGCGTGCTTTTGGTAGATAGGAAAACTATTTTAATTTTTGACATTGCTTTCATTTTTTTCATTCCATAGTTCTTTAAAGCCAGGTCACCAGACAACACTTTTTCTTTTTGTTGGTTCCATTTCAGTGGGGGTCTTCTTGGAAAAGCTATGGGTTGTTTCTTTGTTGGGGGGGGTTCAATTTCTAGGATCACTGATGTAACTACATGTGATGGTGTTAAATATTTAAACTTCTGAGATTAAAAAGGTACACAGTTACGTAATATGTATATCTTTCCTCCTGCTGCGTCCCTTGTAGGTTTCACTAGAGAGAATGATGATGGTTTGCCAGAACCCTTTCTTTTCCTTTAGGTCAACCCCACCACTCATACACATACACATGCACATGCACACCCCCCAAAGATGACATGTAATAAAGATGTAGGGGAGAAAGAGAAAAAAGAACTGTATCCTGGATGATAACTGGAGGAATAGCCCCTAACCCATGGTGGGATGAGACACCTGGTTAGAGGTTAGTGGGAGAGAAAACAGGCATCAGGCAGGTAACTGCCCGTAAAACCACTCACCGTGATGAGAAAGCTGGAGGCAGTGTCTTGAAAGAGGAATATTATCCTTTGCATGTTAAAAGGGATCAAGCCACTGTCCTGCAATCTCAGCATCGGGGGAGCAGATCTGGCCCCGTGGAAGGAAAAAAGGACCTGAGCTGCCATGGAAGTGTGGGCTTCTTTGGAGAAGCCTGGGCTGAGGGGGCAGCTGTGCTCAGGCCCTTCACTGAGTGATGTGGAGATACACCAAGTGATAGAGATGATCCTAAGGTGAAGAGAATTACAGTTTTCATATGTTACCACTTGAGAAGATATTTACTGTGACTTCTGCTCCAGGTCTTGTAGACTGGAAAGGGGTATAGGGAAAAGCTGTATCAGAGCTGAGACATTATAAAGAATCGAACTGTTTGAACACTGGTAACGTCCTTTCCTTTCCTCACTTTAACTTCCTAGATCATCTCTCAATTGCTTCCTTCTTTGTAACCACAGCACTTTGTTCATATCTCTGTTATAACACTTCTCCCCTTGTATAATAATTATTTCCCTGTCTGAGACTTACACTGTACTGAGTTCCTGCAGGAGAGAAGCTGTATCTTTGTCTGTGTCTTGGTCTCAGCAGGGTCTGGTAGAATGCCCTGCAGGAGGTGAGAGTTGTTGCATATAGCCTTATAGGTACGTGAAAGCAAATACAGTTGACCCTTGAACAACTTTACTAATAGCCTACTGTTGACCAGAAGCCTTACTGATAACATAAACAGTTGATTCAACCCACATTTTGTACATTATATGTACTGTATACTCTATTTGTACAATAAGGTAAGCTAGAGGAAAGAAAATGTTTCTAAGAAAACTTGAAGAGGATATACATTTACACTACCGTACTGTATTTGCTGATAGCTTAAGTTTATGGCACCTGCTTACAAGGTGAATCACCTGTCAGTACCTACATAAGTACTGTCTTATATAAAACACTGTGGATGTTACATTAACATATATCATTAACATATCATTAACACTAAACATCAAAAGTGAAAAGATAGTGTGAAAAAAATTCATATTCACTTACAGGTATAATGATTCATGCATTGATAACAAAAAAGCAGCAATATGATTGCTTTATGGTAGCCTAGCCTATACACTAATGAATAAATCATTATAAAATTTCTATGGCATACAGTACGGCAGTCATATTCATGATACAGTATTAGAAACATTGTTACTTCTTAAAAATTACCACTTACCTGTGATGAGAGGCTGATACACACTTTTTCCAACTAAGAGAGAGACAGAAAGAGACATACTGTACAATAATGTAATGTAATTCTTTGAAAGCAAAGTTATAAAATAGTAAGAAAATTAACACATTATTAATTTTATATGAAATATCACTCACCTTAGGTCTCTGTAAGGCCAGGTTACGCATTTCCATGCACATCTTGCTCACAATGATTACTTAGGCGACGGTGATGACACAAAAAGTGTCTAATACAGTTATTAGATTTTCACACGAAGACACACTCCATACACAATCTCTTCTATGATTTCTTTGATTGGCTCTGTCATAAACCTTGTGAGGTCATGCACAACATCTAGACAGTGTTTTCTCCCCCAGGAATTTACTGTTTCAGGCTTGGTGGCTCTTTACCTTTTTCTATAACAACGATGGCATCTTCAATGGTGTAATCCTTCCAGACTTTCATTATGTTCTATCGGGGTTGTCTTTCATGGCATTGGCGAGCCTTACTAAGAAATATCCTTTGGGGCATTTTTTTTTTCCAGAATAGGACACCTTTGTCTACATTAAAAACCTGTTTAGGAAAAAAACAACCCTCATAGGCACAAAAAGTATGATGATTACCAGAGGGGGAGGCAGGAGAGGGTAAAGGGGGGATGAACGGTGGTGGAAGGAGACTTGGCTTGGGGTGGTGAACACACAACACAATAACAGCTGATGTGTTATAGAATCGTACACCTGAAACCTATTTAATTTTATTAACCAATGCCACCCCAATAAATTTAATTTAAAAAACCTGTTTAGGCAGATATCCTTTCTTTTCAGTGATTTTGCTAATGGCACGTGGAAACTCATCTGCTGCCTCTTGTCAGTAGAAGCAGCTCATCCTACTATCTTGACATTTTTTAAGCCAAACCTCTTTCTAAAATTATCAAACCATCTTTTGCTGGCATTAAACTCTCCAGCTTTAGATCCTTCACCTTCCTCGCTTTAAGATATCATATAATGATTTTGCTTTTCTTTGAGTCATATTAGGGGTCTATAGGTATGTCTTTCTTATAACAATCCAGCACCCACATAGAAGCTGTACTTTCAATAAAGATAAAAACGTATTTGCAAAAAGTGCTAGGTTTTCCCACCTGCTGTTATAGCTGCAGTGACAGCTTCATTTTTTTTTTTTTTTTTCAAAACAATCCTTCCACTGGACTCATTTATCTTGAAATGGCGGACAACCACAGCTGCAGACCTCAATCTACAGCACACATCAAGTAATTCAACTTGTAATGTCATGACTTCTCTCTGCTTCCCGGGGGCACTTCCAGCGTCACTAGTGGCACTACGTATGGGTCCCCTGGTGTTAGTGAAGGTTCACAGTATTGCAGTAAACAGGATGAAAAATACACAAGAACCATGAGAGATCACTTTTTACTGCAAAACGCAATTTATTGGAGAGACAACTGCTCACGTGGAGATAATTAGCATCGCTTGG